TTTTTTTTTTTTTTTTTTTTTTTTTTTTTTCCCCCCCCCCCCTTCCTCCTTGCCAAGCACCAGCCCAATGCTCAGATTGAAACATCAGCGTGCGGGCAGGGGGGAGGGACATTTCTGCCACTCCTCAGCCCTCCCAGCCGCTGCAGGGACCAAAGCCGCGCATCCCTGCCGTCCCTGGGTCAGGAGCTGGCCGGGGCCGCGGGGAGCAGCAAGCAGTGGCTCCCCTGCACAATCGGATTAGAGCAGACAAAGCGCCCTGAGCAATCCGCCAGCGCAGCACGCAGCTTTTCTCTGTTATTAATTTTTTTTTTTTTCCCCTTTGCTGGTGTCGACAAAATCCCCAGGCAGAAAAAGAGGAAGAAAAAGGAGAGGCAACTAAAAAAAAAAAAAAAAAAAAGGAAAAAAAAGGAGAGGCAACTAAAAAAAAAAAAAAAAAAAGAAAGGAATGAAATAGCCGTGGGGATCGAGGATGCCGGTTAATCCCAGGGGTCCTCCTGGTCCTGCCCCATCCACCCTGGGGCTGGGGGTGCCCCCCGCACAGGAGGGATTTCACACGAGGGAACAGCAAATCTCTGTGTAATGGCCCCGTGTGTCCTTGTGCCAGTGGCTGGGGGCTGCAGGGGTGCAGGCTTGTGGCAGTTTGGGGTGGTGTGGGACTTGCATCGGGCGTTTGCACCCAGGGAGGAGATGGAGACGTGGGGCTCCGTCCATGCTCTGGGAGGGGTGCAGGGGGCAAAGGAGGAAAGGAGCAGGTTTGGGCCCAGGATGGCGGCGTCCCCCTCGGCTCCGTCTGGGAGCTGTGCCTCTTGGTGCCCCCCTCCCGGGTGGCTCGAGGCCATGGGCAGGCCTGCGGCGCTGGGGATCGCTCGCCCGGGCAGCGGTCTCGCTGCTGAGGCTGCTCTTCCCTCTGCCGTGCAGACCGACTCTCCCGCCAGCGCGCCCGCCTCCAAGCCCTCCGCTTCCTCGCCGCCCCGAGCCTCCCTCACGCCCGGTCCCGGGCCCAGCTCG